GTCCTAGGGCCTGCTGGGGTAATAATCATTGCTAAGCACATAGAGTATGTTTGAGAGCATGGATATATGCTCTCTATAACTACAATTATTATTATTATTATTATTATCATAAAGGAACGGTAGAAGAAACCTGCTTCCTAAATGATCTTACCTTTGTCAACATAGGGATAAAACATTAACAATCAACTAATTTGACACATGTGGCATGATAAAGAAGTGAGAGACAACACATACGGCTGATCCAGGTCATGAGCGATGAACTCTGAACTTTTCAACAACAAATAGATGTCACTTGGGCAGGTGCACATGAGGGTCTTGTCAAAAGATATCCAGTTCGCATCCTGAGTAGTAGAGTAAAGATAACTGAGTGAAATACATGTTTACCAACGTACTCAAATATTAACAAATAGGCCTCGACTTGAACCTACCTTAATGGAAACCTCTCTCTGGCGGAAACCTGTCATAACGGAATCTCCTCACTCCCCCCTTGATAAATTTCTCTATAATTACCTCTGTAAGACGGAAACCTAGCGAATTCAGAAAAGGAAAAGAAATTCCTTCCCTTCGAATGCTTCTTACCTGTCTAAGATGGAAAATGCTTTGCCCACTCAGCCCTGATTTGAAACAAAACTATTAAGTTAGGTTCCATCAACTGTAACTTTTACACCATGCCACCAGGCGAGGAAGGGGAGTGGGGTTGGACTTGGGGATCGATGATACCCCATCCATATGAGCCCGCAGTGGTGCAGATGGTCAGGGTGGTGTGGGTGTGAAATCTCACCAGTGCTTGTGAAAGAGCTCAAGTAGCGATCCAACACAGAATCTTTCCGTGGTTGCCAAAGGCCAGAGGTGAGGAATTTAATTATGACAAATGCTTGCCACCGTAATCGTACGGCCATCCAAGAAAAAAGTTCCTCGAATCATTATTACATCCACAGGAGGGGTGGCATTTGCTGACTGTGCTTCTTACATCAATGGGTGGGGTTCAGGGTGGAAACAAAGGAGATGTTAAATCGTTTTTGATTTTAATAGGTCAAACAGTATTCTTTTGAAACGCAAACACTGGTGGCAATGGATAAGTAAGGCTGATGCATACCATGATCAGAGGCTAGAATAGCACTTGGGAGGTGTGAAGATTTGATCGCTGCTTGCTAACCAGAGGGAGACCCCATAATCCCACCGGATGGGCCTCTGGAATCCCCCACCTTCTCCCACTAAATTCCCCTGTCCAAGACGGAAAATGTCTAAGATCGAATTTTTTGGGGGTTCCCTAGCGATTCCATCTTAGACAGGTTCGACTGTATCTAATAAGATACAAGTCTTTTGAAAAACAAACATATCCTTTCAAAATAAAAGAATTTTGCCCACATGGGTAGAGCAAAAGAGAACAAATAAGGATGGATAGAAGGCAGAGATAAAACATTAGAGCAAATATCATGATTCAAGCATTGAAGATTCAAACCAGCTTGTATAACTACTGGAAGAGTAGCAACTTCTGCTAACGAAAAGAGGATCTATCATCAACCCCCC